ACCAGGAGAAGATAAAATTACTTCGGAGATGCTAAAAATGGGAGGCACTGCATTAGAAGAGGCAATGCGAGCATTACTGAATAAATGCCTATTGGAAGGACAAATACCAAAGACATGGAAAAATGCGGAAGTCATTCTACTCCATAAAAAAGGGGACGCCGCAAATATAGAAAACTACCGACCAATAAGCTTATTGTCACACCTTTACAAACTACTAACCCGAATAATAACAAATAGATTGACAGCTAAACTAGATGCATACCAACCAGTGGAGCAAGCAGGCTTTCGTAAGGGTTTTAGCACTATCGATCACTTGCAAACAATCCGGACAGTTATTGAAAAAACAATAGAGTACAACATACCACTACATCTGGCATTTGTCGATTATCACAAAGCATTCGACAGTATCGAGAAATGGGCTTTCTTAACAGCATTGGACGACGCCAGAGTAGATTCAAGATATGCTGCCCTCCTTAAGAATATATACGATGATGCTACTTTTCACGTAAAAATAGATGATGATCTGGAAACTATGAAAATAGACCTTGGCAAAGGTGTGAGACAGGGCGACACCATCTCACCCAAATTATTTACTTTGGCATTAGAAAATGTTTTCAAAAAACTAAATTGGGCCGAAAAGGGATTAAAAGTAGATGGAGTATATCTTAACCATTTGCGTTTCGCAGACGACATAGTACTAATAAGCACAGATATCCATGAACTAAAATCAATGCTACAAGATTTAAATCACAAATCGAATCAAATAGGATTAAAAATGAATCTCGACAAAACAAGGTATAAAGATAAGGACACAATTGTCATGGGCTGCTTTTGGTAAGTTGAGCTTCATTTTAAAAGACAGAAAAATCCCAATTCACTTAAAACGAAAAACCTATGACACTTGTATACTACCAGTTGCAACTTATGGATTGGAAACTATGGCAATAACAAGAAAAATGGCAGAACAATTAAGAGTAACTCAACGGGCCATGGAGAGGGCCATGTTAAATATAAGCCTCAGAGACAAAATTCCTAACACCGAAATACGTCGAAGAACTAAAGTAACCGACATCATGGGAAAAATAGCGACATTGAGATGGCAATGGGTAGCACATGTAGCAAGACAAGACACCAACAGATGGTCTCATAAAGTGACATTCTGGAGACCTCGAGAAACAAAAAGAAGCGTGGGAAGACCCAAAAAGAGATGGATAGACGATATAACAGCTGTAGCTGGAAAACAGTGGATGAGAATTGCAAAAGATAGGGAAGCGTGGAAGCAATTGGAGGAGGCCTATGTCCAACAATGGATAAATGAAGGCTGAAGAAGAAGAAGAAGACTCTTCAACATAGAACTCTGTTGGTCGTGTTAGATCAGCATTGCACCACACGTTACTGATGTAAATCGTTCTTTTTACTTGTTGCAACAGCTCTCTTTTTGTAGGTGGAAGATTAGATGCATCGAACCCTGACAAATTTTTCTTCAAATTTTTTTCATTTCCGTCTCTACGTTTAAACTTTTATTTCAAATATGTACTTCAAATCTTCCTTGATCGACATCTTTTTTTGTCTACAAGTTATATACTCGACGAACATAATCTTCAATAGATTTAAAAGTTTTATTTTCTATATCCAAATATTTCGGCTCTATTTCTAATAGTTGCACAAAAGCATCTGGATACGAATTACTTTTTTTAATGGAAAAAGGTCTTTTCTTTTCTTTTTTGTAAAAACCTGGATTGAAATCATTACCAGTAAATACGTGACAAATAGTTAGTGCTCGTGCTAATTTGTCACCAATTTTTTCGAAAATTTTGTTGATATTTAAATACTCGGTTTTCTTATTTGTCCACATATTTACTGTAATCTTAATCTCTGCTTGTAAATACTTCATATTTGCAAGAATAATTATTGATATATCTGAGTCAGTGCAATGGACTTGCAACCTTGTAATTAACAGGCATTTGGCATATGTGATACATGATCTTTGTATCTGCTTCTTCGTTAAAGCAAGATAAGTTATGATCAATGGTTCTTTTTATTTTATTTTCATGTACTTGTTAACAGTAGCATGATTTGTGTACGTATCTGTAACCTTAGAACAATTGCTGCTTTTACTAATTTATATTTTTTGGAGATTTTCCACTTAAACTCTAAAATTTTTAAAATATATATATATATATATATATATATATATATATATATATATATATATTTAAACTACAGGGGCAAGTAAATGTTATTACATATAATATGTATATAGAAAATCATAAGCATAAACTTACTTTTTTCAGTTTAAGAATTACTTACTTACTCCGTGGCGTTACAACCCTTCGTGGGTTTTAGCCGACTCGACAACATGCCTCCACTGTTTTCTGTCTTGAGCAACCTCCATCCAATTCTCCACGCCCATAGTGCTTAGGTCTCCTGCTATATTATCTCGCCACCGGAGACGAGGGCGTCCGCGTGGTCTCCTTCCAGTTGGGACTTCCTGCCACACCAGTCTTACTGTTCGTTCGTCAGAATGTCTTCTGAGGTGTCCTGCCCATTGGAGTCTTCTGGACTTTATTTCTTTTATGATGTTGGCGTCTGGGTAAAGTTCTTCAAGCTCTTTATTAGTTCTTATCCTATATTGTCCTGATGTTTCATCAAGCACCGGACCAAAGATCTTCCTTAGGATTTTTCTTTCCCAAACACGTAGTCTCTCTTCATTTGCCTTTGTCATCGTCCACGTTTCGCTTCCATACATCACAACGGGTCGTATGATTGTTTTATAGACCTGTATCTTCGTACGTCGTGTTAGTTGTTTTGATTTTATAAGGTTTTGGAGGGCAAAAATACATCTGTTGCCGGCCTGAATCCTGTTGTTTATTTCTTGTGATCCGTTATTGTCTTCAGTTATTGTTGTTCCAAGATACTTGAATTCCCTAACGCGCTCAAAGTTAAAGTCATCGATGGTAATGTTCTGACCGATTCTGTCTCTGCTTTGGTTATTGCGGCTCATATACATATATTTCGTCTTGTTTTCGTTGATTTGGAGCCCCATCTTCTCTGCTTCCTTCTCAAACCTTACGAAAGTCTCCTTCATCCTTAATCGCGTGTTTCCTATTAGATCTATATCGTCTGCAAATGCCAGTAGTAAGTTTGGTCCTTCTCGATGAAATACTGTATTCGGTTTTTCGATTCTTGCACTTCTGATTATGTGCTCCAGAGCTAAGTTGAAGAGTTGTGGTGAAAGTGCATCTCCCTGTTTTAGTCCATTGTTTATTTCAAATGTCTCCGAGTATTGTTGTCCAACTCTCACCTTACATCGTAACCGTTCCATACACATCCGTATCAACCGGACTAGTTTTTTTGGAAAGCCAAGTTCCTGCATCGCTGTCCACAGTCTGTCCCTACATACTCTATCAAATGCTTGTTTAAAATCTATGAACATCTGATGAAGCTCACGATCAAACTCCCAGCATTTTTCCATTATCTGTTTTATTGTGAATATCTGGTCAATTGTAGAGCGGCCCGGTCTAAATCCGCATTGATAATCTCCAACAATTTCTTCTGTGTATGTTTTGGTTCTTTCTAGCAGGATGTTTGCAAGGATTTTGTAGGTGGTGTTTAGGAGTGTTATTCCCCTGTAGTTAATACATTGCTTTTTGTTTCCTTTTTTGTGTATTGGTACAATAAATCCTTCTTTCCATTCATCTGGCATTGTTTCTTCTTGCCAAATGTCTAGTTTTTACCAGTTTAAGAATGGCGATATACAATAAGAATTTATTTTTTTGTTCGTTTGCCCCAACATTTTTGTCGGACAATTAGATTTTTTTTATTTTAAATATAATTATTTACAACTTCGTATAAGTGTCGGAAAAATGGTTGTAAAATTAAGGCATGCACAAACCCTGTGTAATTTAGACATATGCATTTCCAAAAAAAAATACTTTTTTTTTAAATTGTATCAATATGCCCCATTGTTTTTGTCGGACAAATGATTTAATATGCATTACACATGCAAACAAACAGAAAAAAAAAACAAACATCTGTGGTAATAAATAAAAATGTTTCATAAAATTGACATCTTTGGCGCGTCCGACTGCGCACATGCCACGTGAAAATTGTCCGACAAGGTTACCATAATTTTTTAAACAGTTTTTATGATGAATTGTGTTAAAAACAGCTGTGTGGTAATAATTTTTTTTCCATAAATTTGACATGTTTAGAGAGTCCGACGCGCCAAATGGCCCATTACTTTTGTCCGACAACATGTTTTTCGGTGTTTTTATAATAAAAACTATTGATTAAAATAAAATGACCAATGTGGTCGTAAATTTTTTTTACATAAAATTAACATGTTCCTGACAGTTTCACAGACAAACGCCCCACTACCATATTGCGCCAGGCTCTAAATTTGTCCGACTCCACCCAAATAACAACTGGAAAAAGTTTGGAGAGTGTGTTCATAAAAAAAAATTTAGACGGGGGCCCAAAGACTAACGTATTTTGTTTGCAACTCGTACAATTAGTAGATCAAGTTATATTTATGCCTCACCCTCCCCAATTTGTTGTCTTACTTATGTGTAAATATTTGTGTCAGTATAATTTTCAACCACAATTATCGCAGATATCGGTGTGTGAAATCCCCGTACTTGCATAGTAAAAGATGTTATTTGTAGATCTTTGCAAATAACGTAACAACCGACGGTTTATATTTATTGTATAATCTTCTCTGTTGTAAACTATCTATTTCATCTCAAAAATATTTTAGGCTGCTCTTAAAAAATTAAAATTGAATTTCAAGTAATGTATGTGATAAGTATTTCGTACTTCACATTTATTGTTCTCAATTTGAGACATTTCACATCAGTGAAAATACAGATTTTCTATACAAAATAGTGTCGATGTTTCTCATTTGCCAATCGTCCGACAGCTCAATTTTTTTATAAAAAAAATAAATAAATTCTGGACATAATTTGAAATATGTATTATAAAAATGTTTGTGATTTTAGTGTGCAATAAAGAATAAGCTGAAGTCCAATGAGAAAAAGGAACATTGGCTTTATTATGCAGAAGAAAAATATGGACAAAAATTAGTAAACGATACTAAGGTAACACTCCATGTTTTGGTTCTCTTTCTTCCGCTGCCGATTTTCTGGGCTCTCTATGATCAGCAAGGATCGGGTTGGACCTTAATGGCAGTGAGAATGGATGGCAACATTGGATTTTACACAATTTTGCCAGATCACATGCAAATCGTCAACCCTTTGTTAATTTTGGCTTTTATTCCACTGTTTACCTACTACGTTTATCCACTTCTAGGTAATTATAATTAAAAAAATATTTCATATTTCGGTAAATGGTAAACAGTAAACACTTACCTAAGGCGTAAAATAACTGAAAATACTAGATTTCATTTTATGAAGCTCATCAAAATATTAGTAGTGTTCAGCCTGGGCCAAAAAAAATTGTTTATTATCAGACTAAATAGAAGTAAAAAAGCTTAATCAAGACTTTGTTATGTATAAACTTTTATATAAAAAATTGCCAACAATCCCTAGTCATTAAACGTAATAAATATGTTTTTTTTTTTCATAGAAAAATGTTAAAAGTTTACAAAAAAATTTCAAGTGAAATTTTAGAATTCATTTATAGTTTCATTTAAAAAGGAAGCATTATCAGAAAGTTGTCTATAATAGTGATGGATTACTTTATTGTTAGTGTCGTATCAGTATTGCAAACGGTAGTCTATACGTTAGTTTAGAGGTTCTCAAAGTGGATGATGCGGCACCCTGAGGTACCTCAAGCATTTGCCAAGAGTGACGTAGAACATTTAAGAAAAGTCGAACAACCGGCCGCAGCGCCACTGTCCAATCGAAACATGTTGACTATTTGTACTTGTGTATTTCAATGGCGATCGAGAAACAAACAATCGAATTCGACGCGAATGCTACCTGCATTAATTCCACAGTTTAATTCTTGAAGCCGATAAGTGAGTTTTGTAAAAATTAGAGTTAGATTTCAAAGTGGAAGTTTAGATATAACTGCAGAAGAAAAGTGACGACGTAAGTAATTATATTCATTGGAATTAATATGTATAATATTATGTACTTTTGTTGCTATTTTTGCCATAAAATATGTCTTGCACTATTACGGTTGGAAAATACCTTTCATTGTTGGCAATGTTTTGCTCTCTTTTATTTGGGACATTTTTTTCATTCCAGAATAATGGAAAATTGGCTGAAATCTGGTCTTTGAAAAGGAAATGTAGTGAAGTCACTGAAGCATCTGAATCAACTGATTCAGTGACAACTAGCAGAGATGGAGAAGATGCAAATGTTCACGAGATCCATTCGAGTCCAGCTTATCAAGTTGTTCGTGGGAAGAAGGTTCCTTACCAAAAAGAAATTCGAGGAAAAATAAGAAGGTATGATCCTAGCTATCTCACGTTATATGGCTTTATTCAAGTTGGCAACGAACAGGCACCAGAAGGCCAATGCGTTAATTGTCACAAAATTGTTGCTAATTGGTGCTTGGTTCCATCTGAATTAAAAAGACATTTGGAAAGTAATCATCCTGGTTTAGCCGATAAGGCCGAAGAAACCTTCAAACGTCGTGCTTCATCTCTTCAGGCAGGGTCATGCATGATGGAAAGAGTCTGCAAAAATGAAAACGAAAACGCCACTGAAGCATCATTTATTGTTGGTTTGCACATTGCAAAAGCTGGAAACCCCATACCATTGCCGAGGAACTGATTAAACATTGCGTGAAGGATGTCGTACAATACATGTTAGGTCCAGATATGACCAAGAAGATTGATAATGTGCAGATGTCAAACAGCACTATAAGCAAGATAATTCACACTATTTCAGACTTTGTAGAGAGAGAGCTATAAATAGATTAAAAATTGTGAATTCTTCAGTTTACAGCTTGATGAGAGTACCGACGTTGCTGGATTTGTGTTCGGCTTGTGTTTATGAGGTTTCCATTCGGAATAAAAATAGAAGAAGAACTCCTTATATGTGAAGAGCTTAAAAGTTATGCCACTGGTGAAGAAATTTTCAAGGCTATCCACGAGTATATAAGAAAAAATGATATAGAGTGGAGTAAATGTGTGGATATTTGCAGTGATGGAGCGGCTGCAATGGTTGGTAAAATTAGAGGGGCGGTGTCTAGAATAAAGGTAGTGGCAGAAAATGCCTCCAGCAGTCATTGTATCTTACATCGCCATTCTTTGGCAATAAAAAGATGCCGCAAGATTTGAAAGACGTATTGGATGGTTCTGTGAAAATAATTAACCATGTGAAGAGACGTCCGCTTCAAACACGCCTTTTAAAGCTCACCGTTGACGATATGGGTATGGATTACTTCAATCTTCTGCTCCACACATAGGTCTGGTGGCTATCGAGTGGAATAATTTTAGGGAGACTATTTGAACTAAAAGATCCACTAATTATCACATTTTCAGAGGAGTCTTTCATCCAAGAATTAAAAGATGTCAATTGGATGCTAAAATTGGGATACCTTTCAGACATCTTGAGGTCAATGAGATCGAGACATTGCACCCACCTTCTCAGATTCTGGAAGGAAATCCCTTAGGAGAATATATGGTAGTAATAGGATATAATCGAGTTAATGAAAATCCAAAAATTGGTTTAGCAACCGTGGCAACATTTATATATGATTTGTTAAAGAGTTCAGCAATCTTATAAACTGTAATTCTTTTGGTCTGATGGCTTCTCATGAAAAGATAGCATTCCCTGTTATAGTTCTTAGATGTTATAGTATTATCTTAACAGTTAAAAAAACGACATTAAGAGGCTGTAGACAATGATAGACAATAGGCCTAACTTGGGCAGCATTTGGGAAATTAAGCCATATTCTAAAAAGTTCAATTCCCATGTGTCTCAAGCGAAAGGTTTATGACCAATGTGTTTTACCTGTACAAACTTATGGAGCGGAGACTTTAACACTCATGCAAAAATCTGCGAATAAACTCAGAGTTACGCAACGAGCCATGGAACGTGCAATGCTGAACGTGAGCCTCCGAGACCACATAACAAACCAACAAATCAGGCAAAGATCAGGAGTTCAAGACGTCATCGAAAGAACCACGTCGCTTAAGTGGAACTGGGCAGGGCACTTAGCCAGAGCACAAGATGGACGGTGGACAAGACGTATTATGGAATGGAGGCCCAGAAACTATAAAAGAAGCCGAGGAGGACCACCGACTAGATGGACCGATGATATAAAACGTGTAGCGGGAAACTGGCTACAAGCGGCCCAGTGTAGAGAACAATGGAAAGAACTGAGGGAGGCCTATGTCCAGCAGTGGACGCGATTGGCTGATTGATTATGAGACAATGAGATGAATGGGAACGCAGCGACAGCATCGTTATGACGTTTTCTTTGCCATACTCATAAGCTTCTAGGGTAATATGGCTACCATGATTGTCTAAAATTGGTAAAACTGGTTGTTTCACTTTTTTGGCATACTTTTTAAAATGTTTTAAACACTAAATAAAAAGTTCCTCATTAGTCTAGCCATTTTTGGAACATTTGTAAAGAGATCCAGGTGGTCCGTTCCCTTCCAGAAGTGGTGTCATTCGTTGTCTTGCATAAATAAAAGTAAGGAGAACATAAGTCCCTGTAGCGTTGAATGCACAAATAACTGTAGTGGTTTGTCCCCTTTCACCAGATGTTATAGCTCCTATTCTCTTTTACCCTTTTGCTGCTAAAATTCTGTTGATGTCTTGAACGGTTGTAATACCCTTTTTGTCCATATTATAAATGTTATTGGGTGTAAATTTAAATTTTTCTATCAAGTTTTAAAATTTTTCGAAAAATGTTTTCATCTCAGTCTTGTTGAAGCCTATTGTTCGGTTAAGACTAGTTGCTTTAGATTACCGCACTGAAATAAATTTTCCGTGTATTATAAAACCCACATCTATATGTGTATCATTTATGGTTATACTTGGGATGTGGTCTAACATTATATGCTATAGGTCTTTAATAAATATAATAACGTAAATTTATTACAATTTAAAGAGTCGTTTGTAAATAATATAAAGTTGAGACCATCTATCTATCGTTCGTCGGCAAATTCAAACAAAAATATAACTTCCAGACCATCTTTTACCACATTTAGTCCAGACAAATTAATATAATGTATCTAATATATTTTTTACCCAAAAATGAGATGTTTTAACCAAATAATGCTTCAAATACAATGTGCAGAATAATTTTGAATTACGTTCTGCTAATGAACTTGCTTTTTTGTCCTTAAAAGTAGAAAATAGTTTCAATTATATTGCTTAATGTTTCGTCTAAATATAATCGCCCAACAATTTTGTAACTGTACTAATGCCCAAGTATAAATTTTTAAGTTTTAAACTGATTGATATACGAAGAGTAAATCCGGTTGTAAAAATACCGGCATGTGCCTTATTTAAGGGACTGCAAATTTTTTGTATAGTTGTATCTTTACAACTAGCTTGTTTATAGAGAAATGTGCATTGCTTTAATTTTGAGTTGTGTTGAAATTTTGTTGTGAGTAGTTATAATAATTGTAGTATTTTTTGTTGTTTGTTTTTTTGAAACTGTCTATTTGTGTATAAAGAAAATGTTTATACCATGGGAAAAATCATCTACAGTTTTTCGTGCATGGGAGCAAGAGAACCCAAGTAGTAGTAATTAACAATCTATTAAGTGTAAGTCATACAAAAAACAATGACACCGAGAGTGTAATTATAGAAAAGTATTTAGAGACTTCCAAAGAAAAGGATTGTTTAGAATGAACAATCCAAGAGAATTTGTATGAATGTTTACAAAAATCTTCAAAATGATCCTGAAAATAGTTGTAAAGGCAGTATTATAAGAAAAGCAACCTTTCTAACAGGAATTCTGTATTCTACCATGCGCGACATCGTGAAAAGTGGTGTTAAAAATAGAAAAACAAGATCGGATGCTGGAAAACTTAAATAAATTAAGATCGTGACTGCTAAATGTTTAAGAATTTTGTTTACGAGGAATACAAAAAAAATGTAATACCAACAATTTATATTATATACACCAAGCTTGTTGCTATGGAAAGAAGCTGCCCTAAAACGACTTTACGTAGACGGCTGAAAAACTTGGCTTCAAATACAAAATGATTGATAAATGGGTGGCTATTATGGAAAGTAAGAGGATAGTACACTTTGTGGAAAAAAAGGAGACGCACAAAATAAAAAAGATCATGATAAGAATAAAATAAATTTAGCCCTAGAAGTCATTGGATGTCAAGAAAGTCCTGTTACATTTTATAAAGTCGGTAAACCGAATCAAAATGAACGTTATCCCCGGATAATAGTGATAATGAGTTCTGAACACCACACTCGAAAAATTCTTCGTAACAAAAGTAAATTTTTGGAAAACAAATCTACTGAAACTTATTCTGTTATTAATTACAATACACCTATGCAGCAACTTCCTCTAAAGGAACTTCGTACTGAGCTTAAAACTCATAAAAATAATGGAGTAAATGACCTTACGATCAAATATGTGAATAGCTGTCCAAAGATAATGAAATTTCATTCATAATTTTTTTGCACCAAATTTTACGGATTGGCTTCTTATGTTTACGAATCTAAACTCTCTTACATCCAAATTTAATGAATTTATAAGTACTATACAACTTTTAAAACCTCATATTATTCTCCTAACAGAAACGTGGCTTAATTCTTATATCAACGATGCTATTGTAAACATTGATAAGTTTACTATATTTCGTAGAGATACAGGTACTCGTCGAGGGAAAGGAGTATGCATATATTTTAAATAAAATAAAATATAATAATTTAAAGCAAAATAAAATAATTTTGTAATGTAAATTTAGTCTTATCCTAGTTGAACTGGCAATCTATTTTTCTTAATCACTAGGATCCATCGTCAATGAGGAACTCTTTTCTTCATTCTGTCATTACAACAATTTCTGATCATACAACCGAACGGCAGCTATACAGAAATCGACCAAAACCTTTTATTAACATCTCAGCTACTAACCGACATAAGCGAAAGCTTTGGCGAACATATAAACTTACTGGTTTCCCATCGTAATTTTTCTAACCGAACCAAATAATCGTTTCTAAAGTTAAAAACAGAATTTGAAGAATCTATCATTGCAAGTGGTAATAGTAAAAAAGTTTATAGGTACATTCGCACATCTTTTTCTTTTAAAGTCTCCACACCATTACTTCAAAAAGCTGACGGGTCTTTATCTTTTTTTTTTGGAATAATGAATATTCGGAATATTTATCGTTATTCTTTTCTAAGGTTTTCACAGATGAACCTAACGATGCCATTCCTCAAATAATTCGTGTTGGGGAAGCCCGCTCACTAAATAAGCCAGTCAATAGTGGAGTCCCACAAGGATCAGTACTTGAACCGTTTTTTTTTTGTATCTACACTAGTGATTTTCCGGCTTCTATTTACGCTGATTATACGAAATTATATGTAAATCCAACTATTAACCAACACGTTCTTCAACACGATCTTGATGCAATATTTAAATGGTTCTCAGAATGGTTACTTCAGCTTAACATTGAAAAGTGCGTTGTTTTCAATATCGGCAAAAATAACCCATTACTACCGTGTTGTATTAATGACGATCCGTTAAACACGGTAACCTCTCACAACCATATCGGAGTGATAATTAATAGTGACTTAAATTGATCAGGGCCCTGATTCTAATTGAGATTTCGACTGAAAACATGTTGAAATCAATATGGCGACGTCGAAATGCGACTTTGCGAGCCTAGTGGATTTTAGCTGAACTAACCAAAGGACGTCACTAAATTTCGATTTATCGAAATTAATTTCAACTTCAAGAAAGTGGTTGAAATTTAATTTCGAGTCGAAATTAATCTGACATGACTAGCGGGACTGGGAGAAGCGAGGTTAAATTTTAACACCTATAAAAATAGAACTGCCGGTACCTGGGGGCCCCAAGCCAGATGCTACTGATTATTTTTTAAAATATACTGTGGTGTAAAAATTAAAGAAATAAAATGTCCCAATATTAAAACTAAATTGAAAACCACAATTTTTGAATATATTCAACAGGCTGTAATGGAAGATAGAAATAATAAATAATTTGGTTGTAATAATTTATTTTAATTCTACACTCTTATTTGGAGATATAAAATAATCTTTAAACTCATCAAGAATTTTTAGAGCGGTAATGTATTGTTTTTAGTAATACCAATACTAAGCTGCAGTAAATTTAAAAATATAATATAACCACTAAGTCAAAAGCCATCATAATTTCTTTTTGGTCCACAGACAATTTAGTGCCACCATCACCAACAGCCTCCATCCATTTTCTTTCAATTCAAAATATAATCATTGAGAATGGCCACTAAAAATTTAACAACTCAAACAAGAAACAAAAATCGTAAAATGTAAACAAAACAAACATTTAACAAGCGTGCAGCCAATAAACAAGACGGCCAACCCAAATTCTGAGCAGTGTCAAAATGATAAAGTAAATGTCCCCACTTTTAACTAAAATCGAAATGAATGAGAATCGCTAGCGATTGCGACTGTCATGGCGTAGTCGCTTTTAAATTTCGACATCGAAATGAAATAGAATCAGGGCCCTGATCACATAGTGTTGATGTGTAAACGTGCAAACTTAAAACTGTTAACTAACCTCTTCTAGTAAACTTTATTCAATATACGTTAGACCTATTCTTGAGTTTTCCGGGCCAGTGTAAAATCCAGATCTCAGTCTAGATAAAATCCTACTTGAAAATGTTCAACGTAAAGCCACAAGTCTGGCATACGGCCTTGTAAAACCTAATTATGAAGATCCATAGTTCATCTCACGACATTCGAGCAGCGACGTCTTCGAGGTAACCTAATTATGTCCTTTCGTATTTTAAAACATAATTTTGGAAACCTAAACACCATATTCACTTTAAATCAAGACGAAATATTAAGAGGCCATCGTTACAAATTAAAGAGGGAACAAACTACTGCAAAGTCCAGGGTGAACTTCTTGCCAAATAGAATTTTTAATATCTGGAACAATTTGGATCAAGACACCATATCAGCAACTAGTGTTAACATCTTTAAAATAAACTTGTTTGCGCTTTATTTTATTTATAGGATTGTGTTATTTTAGGAGCGCATTATTTATTTATTGCTTCACAATTTTTGTATATGTACTTAATTGGAACTTTATAATTGGCATTAGTTTTATAAGGATATTTTTCTTTGTTTTTTTTTTTTGGCACAATAGGAGCTCGCTCATCTGTCCTTATTTATTATATAATAATATTAATAATAAATTAGATGCTGCCCACAAAAATAATAAACTCAAATGAATTTCAGTTAAGTTAAATGCCTATAACATTCTAATAATATTTTAGGGAAATGTAACTTACTGAAGACTTCTCTGCAGCGAATAGCTTGTGGAGGACTTTTAGCAGCTGTCGCTTTTGCTGTTTCTGCCTTTGTCATGATTGCTATTGAAAAAAATGATCCAGTATTGCCATCAGCTGGTTTCATACAATTAAGGGCGTATAATCCGTCAAGCTGTACTATGTCTGTTAGCACCGATATATCAGAAATAAAACCATTTACCTTAGATCCAACATCTTCATATATGAATCGGTATATTGAATGGAGTGGAAGTAAATCTGTAACATTTACATTTAAGTCTAATACTAAAGAATGCCCAGATGGTGTACAAATAATTTCTCTAGAGGAAAAGAACGCCTATGGTATTTTTATCCAATCAAATGGAACGATCCGCTTTTACGAAGATGACGTTGCTAAGAGCAAAACTGGTTTTCCTTTAGTGAGGTGAGTTTATATTATCTACACTCCACCCCAAAATTAACACATAATTTTAAAAACCCTGGTAAATCAAATAATTATAATGTTTCGATTTTTGTGCTAATATATTATTGTTACCTTCGGTATATTGCAATATTTATCGAAAGAACGGTAAAAAACGCTGATGTTTTTACCATTTTTGCAAAAAAAATTAAAAACATGCTAATTGTGCTTCATTTTATTTCGAATTTAGTCAGGTTGGATTACGTTGTGCTAAACGTTTAAAGGGGTTTTTCAAGTTTATTAAGTGTTTTTTCTTTAAAATGAACCACCAGCATCAAGAAAATCAAAATTTGTCAGAAAGTAACTGTTTTAGAATCATTACTCTTCGTGAAGAAGGATGCACTCAAGTAGAACTCGCTGAATGTTTTAACGTCACCTAGTCAACCATTTCAAGAGTGTTAACACGTTTTTCTGTTACTGGAAGTAACTCGAGAAGACCCGGTCAAGGCCGTAGAAGGGTTTTAACTCCTAATCAAGACCGCTTTTTGACACTTCGTATACTGAAACAAAGGTTTGTTACTAGAACTTCTCTACAAAATGAATTTTTGGATCGTTATATCTTTAGAATCAGCTAAAATACGAGTAGAAGAAGACTTGCCGAAAACGACCTATACCCTGGAAGGGCACCAATTGGCCCATTATTGACCAGAGACCATAGAAGGCAAAGATTGCATTTTGCTCGTGAACATGTTGATTGGAATAATGACGATTGGGGAAGAATATTGTTCACCGATGAATCCAGGTACTGTCTTTTTTCTGATGACAGGAGAAACCGAGTGTATAGAAGGTCTGGGGAACGCTACGCACAGTGTAATACATGTTTGTGAACATGTTTGGCAGACGACTACGACAACTACCTAATGCACCAAACACATTAGATGAACTGTTTTTGCGGTTGGTAGAAATTTGGGATCAAATTGATCAAGAAGAAATCAGAACGATTATTCTCAGTATGAGAGATTGTTGTCAAGCAGTAATAAATGCCAGAGGAGACTATACCTAGTATTTTTTTCAACTTTAAAAATTTCAATTTCGTCATTAATTTTTAATGTTAGTTTGTTTAAATTAATTGTTTGTTTAAATTTTAGATTTATGATGTTATATTGTTAATGTTAATATATTTTTGTCAAAAAATGAAAGTTTTTTATTTAAGATATTCTAAAACAACTATAAAGCAGAAAAGAACAAACAAAATTTTTTTTTACAACTCAAAATAGAAATTTTAAAATTATGCGTTAATTTTGGAGCGCAGTGTATTTTCGTTTAGATTTAATCTTCCACTAGTTATATACTACATAAAAACTGTTTTCTTTATTTCTTTTCTATTCTTTCTTTAAGTTCCTTACTTCATAGAAATTTTAACATTATTCCTACAATCTTAAATTATTATTTTGGTCAGAGAAGAATTGAAGGGTTTGGTGCAAAAACCAGTCAACTCCATTTTTTTATAATTTGTGGAAAATCAATAGTAACTTGCCAATATTGTTATTTTGTAGCAAAAAATACCAATTAAGTATTGGTATTGAAAAATAATTTAACATCAAACTCAACAAAATATTGTTTTTAAACTTTGACAAAAAAAAATTAAAGTCTTGGAGTTAACTGCTTTTTGCCCTGAACCTCCAAAGAGTACACAAATAAAGCGACATTATTGCAGGAAAGACAGTTAAGATTTGATTTCACGCATAGTGCGTCTGTGTATCCGCTTACTCGTATATCACCCTAAAAGGGATCTTCGGAGCGGTTATTCACAAACGCTCTGAACGGTAAACGAAATAAATCCGTGAACTGATTTTCGAATTCAAATTCAGATTTCTGCTTTAAACTGTGCCTTGTACGAATTGCAAGGCAAAACAGACGTTGATAAAGATGTTATTAGAGACATAATATGAATGACATGTATATATGACATGAACATCCGCTCCAAAAATCCCTTTTAGGGTGAAATACGTGTAAGCGGATACACAGACGCACTATACGTGAAATCAAATCTTAACTGTCTTTCCTTTTATTCCGATATACTCTTTATGAGTACAAGAAACCAATTCGCTAAGGATTTTTGCTTAGTTGAGGAGATATGTTGTGGAATGCAATTTTAGATTCCCCATCTTTATCAACGTCTGTTTTGCCTTGCAATTCTTAGAAGGCACAGATTAAAGCAGAAATCTGAATTTGGTTTCGAAAATCAGTTTACGACATTATTGCGTTCACCATTTTTCATAACATAAAAAATAACTTTATTTTTTAACTCAAAGCCATTTTTCAACTAAAAAAAAACAAGAAAGATACTGGAGATCACAGAAAAAAAACACAAATAATGTGATAAAAATAAAAAAAAAACAACTTTTAAGCAAAGAAAAATGATCAACATAATATAAAGTATTAGAAATCTTCAGTTTTCACTTCACCATTGTCACTGTCCAGTTCTTCTTCTTGTTGTTGTTCATCTTGATTAGTGACTCGTATTTCCTCGTAGTACCAGTTATATATTGGTCAGTTATTTTTGGTTTATTTGAAGTGGAAATGTGTTGTACAGTTTAGTACTTGGCCAAACTAAAACTAAGTAAGGTTTTTTTGATGACCAATAATGAATATAGCGTGAGACCTGTTGTAACACTAAATTGTATTATATTTTTTTCTTTCATATTTGAAAAGACGATACTTGGAAATGGTAAATCTTTCTTTTTGTTCGTTACTTATGACTTTTTTAAAAATAGGTTTAGAAGTATTCGAAAAATCGATTATTATATTCTGGGTAACGTCTATTACGCATAACTCTTTTAATGTTTACATGATTAATTTTCTCCATTCAGAAGGTAAGTCTACTATTTCACTTTTTTTTCGTTTTTCTTCTTCAATGAGACCAAAGCAACACTGGTACGTTAGAAAGCTGTAACTGGGTTCTGGAAACTGATGTATAATTTGCTGAATATTACTATTGAAAGCATTCATAAATGTATGAAAGAACTGCACTATGGTGTGGTTTTTGTTTTGGACAAAACCATTGTCCGAAAATAAAGGCGTCCCCTCCATGGTACTAAAGTTTCATCTATTATGATGTCTTCACCAGGATAAAATAGAGATTGAAATTTATTTTGAAGGATATCAATAAGAGATTTAATTTTTGCTTAGCGATCTCCTCTTTGAATTGTCTCATTATTGGTGAAATACAAAAATAATCGGGTAATGCACTTAGTCGAAATAATCCCATCCACAGTGTCAAACAGTTTCAATGACAATAAGGTCTATGACTTCATTATCGACGATATGGAAAAATGCCTGAAGCGGAGTCATTTCAGGGGACAAATCTTGTTGCAGACCACTAGGACCCGTAAACTGGAAGTTCTTGTGTCATCCCACATACTCGAGCCAATCAGTGGAAGCTGGCATATCTTCATTTTTATTTTGGTCATTCTCTTCAATCTGAGCCTCTTCCATCACCAAATCCTGAAGAACATCTTCTATATATGGGTCTTCTTCGTTATCATCTTTATCAGATGACTCAAATTGATCCATTGACGCGGCGGGGTCATGGCTAAAATCCTGATCTTTGATGGAATCGTCGGAGTCTAAAGTCAGACTGTTCATCACTCTCGTTATCACTATCGATGTGATTCAATGCTTCCTCTAATTCGGCCTCTGTCAAGCCTCGACTACGTTTAGACATTTTTTATTGTTCGGTTCATTCAATTTTCAATCCCAAAATCTGCAACAAAAGAGAAAACCTTAAAATACATACGTCGATCATATTTTCACTATAATACAATATGATATTATCATCTTTGTGTATGCTTGTGCCTGAACCAGTCCATCGTAATTCGCTTATACTAATAACTGATTTTAAGCGTTTGGCCTCCTAAACAAGATTTTCAAATTTACCGGAAGCATAAAGGCTTCTAACGTTCCATATGCCTATCTTATTGGTAAATTTTGCTACTTTGAGCCAGGGCACTTTTAGCACCACTTGCTTACCAAGGAGTTTTATTCGCTATAGCAATATCCTAGGAAATAGTTACCAATGTGGTTTTCCGTTGCCTTCACTGTTTTGGATTTAGCCACTTCAAACATGAGGACAAACGCTGTTTGCAGCTGACCATTCTGAAACAGACGTTACGTATATTCTCCGTTACTACACCTAAAACCTGGGCTGCCACTTCCGCCGAATTCGCCGTTTCAAATTTTCCTATCCGCCTTCATCGTCGTTATGGTCTTCATCTGTAACCCTAAATAAGGGACCCTCACAAAGGGCTATCAGCCGGGCCAGCTGAACTCTGGTTTTTTACACAGGTGTTACTTCTTTATCCTCTCTTCTTTTTTCCGCGCTTGGGACCGGCTGCATCTGTTGTAAAGCTACTCAGTTCACCCCACAACTTACGCAGGCAAAGATAACACATTCAAATATTCAATTTTATGAGCTTCTCAGACATATTGGCCAAGACTTCAATGTTCATAGTTTCTACCAGCTACTGCTATTTCGCTTACTAGTGCATTGTCTAACTCGTTATTGGCCTGCATGTAATTTCTTGTATGATAATCTCGTTTATACATAAGTAAATCACTGACTAATATAACTTACTGATGAAGCTAATATAACTTAATATTCTTGTATAAAAATGATTTTGTTTGTTTTTTTTTAGAACTTTACCTTATACTGATATAGATGTTACGTACACGTTGAAAAAGAAATCAATTAATATAAATTCAGGAAACATATCTGCCAAAGAATTTTTCAGTCCTGGTCTTTGGTCAGTAGAGGTAGGAGAGAAACAATTGGACAAAACTCTACACTTGGAACTTGGTGGAATATATGCTGTAATGCTTAATGAGGTAAGAATATTAAAAATAAAATATATAAATCTATGAAGGCTGTTAGTAAAATTTTTTTTGGAAGTTTTTTCAAATGTTTGTTGAAAAGAGCATAAATTTTTTTAAAATATGGTTTAAAAGTACGTAAATTCGTCTCTTCACCTAACCTAACCTAAAGTCCCTTTTAAGCATAGACATATTATTATAATGATCTGAGTCCAGGTACTGGACTGGTCATGTAGTGAGAATGGAGACCAGAAAATTGCCAAAAAGAGCCCTAGATAGTAAAAAGCAGGACGCAAGACCAAAAGAAGGCCACGGAAAAGGTGAGAGGATGAAGTGGCAGCGGACGCGCAAAATTTGCTAGACGTTGCTTAATTGTCCCGTGTCTGTTTTATAATTTAAAGTTTGTTTATTTTTGTTGATGTGGTACATCTCCAAAAATATTATTTTGGCACAGACTGACAATTACAAAAGTAGGTTATTTTGAGATGTACCACATCAACAAAAATAAACAAACTTTAAATATAAATATGACGAATATAAAACATATATTGCAATATATTGAACAAAATTTAAAACTCACTCACATTAATGATTAATCATACTAACTAGCCTTAATGATTAATTAAAGAAATAATATTCCTCTAATGTTTTCTTACATTGTTAGTTTTTGCATTTTAAATAACTTTTAGTTGTTTCCATCTTATTTATTGTTAACGAACGTGCTCAAATATATTTATATTTTAACATGCATTTACATTATCAAAAATGTTTATTTTAATGTCAAGTTTATTTATGTGTGAAATCTTTTAATTTCTGTAAGTATTGTAAATCTAAGTGTACGTCAGTTTTTTGAAATGTTTGTTTTTTACAGTTACTCCTGATGAAGCTGTTAAATAAATGGCGAAATATTGAGTTTTAGAAAAAACAAAGATTTTTATTTAATATAGACCACATACCCGATATTTCCAACATACTGATATATATATATATATATATATATATATATATATATATATATATATATATAATATATATATATATATATATATATATATATATATATATATATATATATATATATATATATATATATATATATATATAAATTACATTATAAATTTTATAATGTATTCTGTCCATAATTGTATATTTTAATGTGTGTTATAAATGTTGAGTGTCAATGCTTATATAAATAATCTTAACGACTAGTAAGTTATACTGAAGAATTGTGATATTTTTTTAAATATTTACATATTTGTCTTATTACAGTGTCTTGAAAAAGGAATAAAACCATTCCGAAAGCTCGACAAAAAGTCAAAAGAGTGTTTTTTTACCATCCGGCCAGAATATTCTGACTGCGCCTAATAAATGTTTGTTTATTATATATAATATATAAATATATATATATATTATAAAATATATAATATATTAATATATCATTAGATATATATAAGCTCCTGACATATCACGACGATTCTTGAGTGAGGGTAAAGATAATTGTTGTTCGATACGGGAATAATCATAATTTTCAATAGTAGCGTGGATATGATAAGCACAGTATCTCAAAAATTTATGCTGGACTCTTTCTATGGTATCAATATTGTTCTGAAAATAGGGTGACCAAATAACTGAACAGTATTCCAAAATAGTTCTAACTAAGCAACAATACACTAATCTTGTTAAATCAATGAAGAAATACTTGCAATTCCTAGTAACAAAACCAAGAAGTTTAGATGCCTTTATTTAAATAGAGTTTATGTGGTCACAGAAAGTAAGCATTTTATCGAAAATAACACCCAAATCCCGAATAGAAAAAACATAATTCAGTGGCTGATTAATAATAGTATAACTTGTTCCAATTATATTGACTTTACGAGAAAAACTTATAAAACAACATTATTTTACATTTAAGTGGAGTTTGTTCTGATTTCCTTTGATTCTGATGTTCTGGTTTATTCTGCACCAATTTTGTAGTCGGTTTAAGTTATCTTGTAGCAAGACTTAATCTTAACGAATTGACCTTGACGTTAACGAAGATATTAAAAAGAAGTGTGGCCTCCTTGAGGAACTCCAGATATTACTGAGATACTGTCAGACAGATGACAACCTATCTTAACTCTTTGAATTCTCCCAGAGTTTCTAATCGATTCAACAAACGTGTTATGAAAGCCTACATTAATTAACTTGCCCAAAAGTATTTGGTGATCTACACTATCAAATGCTTTGGGAAAATCTGTGTATCTACGTGTTTACGGTCTTCCATATGAGATAATATATCAGATTAATAGCAAACCAAGTTTGTCGCAGTGGATTTTTTGCTATAAAAACCATACTGTGATTGGGATATTAAGCCTTTACATAACCAAGAAAGTTGCTTTGCTCTAAGACAGTCGAAGAGCTTAGGAATTGCAGATTGTATATAAATGCTACGATAATTTTCAATATTGTCTTTCTGACCATTTTTAAATATAGGAACAACATAACTTTCTTTGCATGAAAAAGGAGACGTAGAGGTTTCCAAAGATCTATTAAACAATATAACAAATGTTTTTACAAAGGTACAGACACACTTATTTAATAAAAAATTGGCCCTCCATCTGGACCAGCAGTAAACTTATTGGGTCACTCATTTATGCCGTTAAAAATATCAGTCATGGTAATCTTGAATTGTAAATGAATTAACAACAAAAGATTGCACACGATACTTTGATAGAAGCTGTGAACATTGGATGTGGTAGTGAAGATTTTACAGGTATGCAAATTAATCGTTTGGGACGAATGTACGGTGGCGCACAAGAGGTCATTGGAGGCACTGGACAGAACTTTAAAAGATATTCGTGACAATCAATGCGTCTTATGTGGAACTATGATTCTATTGTGAGGTGATTTATATCAGTATCAGTGAGATATCAATAAAATCGCCTCGACAGGATTGATCACATTACCCACAGATTTCTGTTACTTACTTACATAGAACTCTAACGAGGAGCTTATTTAGCGTGTATTTTTAGACATAGCGGAACAGTTCAATATGATAACTGAGTGAATGAGGAATATTTGGCGGCAAAAAATACAGATATAGATGATATCTTACAATTTATAATTAAACGTAGAATCAGTTATCATATGCTGCGGACATTAAATAATTTCGACTATGGAATCGAACGATGATTCCAACGAACTTACCATTTGATTTTAAGCATCTCCAACTTCCCGTGCGACTTTTGCAATGTCGATATAAAAATCGCAACGCTTGTGATAGTTTGAAAGTTTGCGAAATTAACTTAGAATTTTGATGTTTAAACCGTCATTTTGATGAAAAACCGCCATCGTTGTATATCTACGCACCGCAAAAAAAAACAAAAATATTTTTTATCAGAAGGCATTAAATTGATTCACCTTTTTTGATGCACACTATTTTTGAATATTTTTTTTTTGGTTTTCGGTTACGTTATTGAACTTTAACACATTATTTAATGCTAAGGCGGTAGAAAGTTGGCTAGGTCTGCTAGTTTATTATAAAAGTATAATAAAATAATTAATCAATTGAACACTGTTTACTTTTAATTATTTTCTTTCAGAAACAAATGGATTATGCGATAGTGACAAAACCCAATGCAGTCCATATAGCTTGGTTACTTCTTCAATATTTTATTATAACTGCTGCAGAAATTATGTTTGTCATCACAGGATTAGAGTTTTCATACTCTCAAGCCCCGGCCTCAATGAAGTCTTTAGTGCAAGCTTGCTTTTTATTGACCACTGCATTTGGAAACTTGATTATTGTCATTATATCATCTATGGAGATTTTCGAGAAAAAGGTAGGCTATAGCATTAATACAATAATTTTGGAATATTTTATATTTTTACATTTATTGACCAAAGCTTTCTAAAAATATATCCCACAACATATCATGTTACATATAACATGTCTACTTATTTGTAATTATTTACAAGCTGTACATATCTAAAGAAATTGTAGCTATTTTGTAACTGTTTAGATCCATTTGCCGTGAGATGTCAGAAAATTATCGGTACTTTTTGTAGGCAACAGGTTACTCGAAAAGCCTACACAGGTTTTCTTAAAACAAAAAGTCAGCTATGTTTGGCTTGGTTTAGAGATTTTCTAAAGAGGTATCCAGAGATTTTTTTAGGCCAGATTGCTGCCAGAGCAAGAGGCTTTAATAAAAAGGCACTCGCTAATATTTTTTCTCTTTTAGATGAAATATAAAATAAAAATAATACTAATTCTATGGAAATATATAATATCGATGAGTCTGGTATCTAGACGGTCCCTAGCAAGTTGGCCAAAAGGGCTGAAACAAGCAGGGTTTCATAAAAAACGCTGGAAGGGAACAAAATGTCACCATTGATGAGAACAAAATCTCTGTGTAATGATTGCGGGTCAATTCATTCCTCCAGCAATAATATTCCCTCGTAAACAAAGGAATGAATTATTATTTCAAGGCGCCCCATATGGAATACTTTCTCTTTACAATGAATCTAGATACATGAAATCTGACAATTTGATTTTGTTCTTAAAATATTTTCAACAACATACACAGTGCTCAGTTGAAAACAGATTCGTAATATTGCTTATTTTCACCTCTAATGGCGCATTTTAAATTTTAATGAAGAAGAGGGTACTTGACACCGGATTCAGTGGATTGAGTACATAACAATGATAACAGTAAATGTAACACAATATAAATTCCAAGAAGTTGAAAAATTTGAGTACTTAGGAAATGTCTTCACAATGGAACCTAACTGTGAAGAAGAAATAAAGAAAAGAATTATGTCTGGCAACCGCGCTGTATATGCTCTCAATGGGTTGTTAAGAAGTAAAAATATATGTCCAAGAGCAAAACTAAGGATATACAAGACCGTAATAAGGCCAATAGTGACATATGCTTCTGAAAAATGGGTCACAACAAAAAAACACAGAGTTTTTATTAGGTTGTGAGCGCAAAATCTGGTGAAAAAAAACTTAAATAGCTAAGAACAAATATCGAACTAACGGAGCTCTATCAAGAACTCAACATATTTGCGGTAATTAAGGTTCAAAGACTTAGATGGTTGGGCCATGTGCAGAGAATTATTCTATCTAGAATTCTCAGAATGATACTACCTAGTGCATTAGCAGGCTAAAAACCAAGAGGAAGACCGAGGCCAATATAGAGCAACGAAGTTAAAGAAGATATGAGAAAACTAAGTTAACGTAACGAACTGGGAAGCAAAAGGAAGTGTTTAAAACATTGTGCAATATTGTGTGACCTCGCTACACTCATATTTGATGGCCAGCTAGCTCATCCGATCTAAATAAAGTTGACATTATCAATATTGATTTTGATTTTGTGTTTAGTTTAGTATATACGTACAAATTTTGTGTACCTAAATTACAAAGCGATCATTAACAAATTAAGAAGTGGGAATACCTTGTATATTTAAAAATAACTGTGCTCGACCCATTTTTATGTAGATACCACTTTTTTGTGTCTTTTTAAACAATTGAAATATTGAACTCTGGAGTATAAGTTGATCAACCTGTGCCTATTTGTAATAAAAGATAATTAAAACATGCTTTATAAAGGATATCTATGTTAACAAAATAACTGTAGCAAAAATCAATAAAATTAAATTAACTACAAAACATTTTTTATGATTAAATATTATAATATCACAATTTTATCATCTCTGTATAATTACTATAATTAAATTAGCCAAATTATATAACAAAAACTTAAAATAATTAAAAATCTTTCAATACAACTACATTTAAATGTTGCATGAAAAAGGGTTCTTCACTGCGTCATGCACGAAGCGAACCGATTTTGGAACATTATGAATCATACCTTGTGGATACTTTTTAATCTGGAAACATACAATTTTATAAATACTCATAACAGTTTTTATTTTTATGATTCAGTTTATTCTTCTTTTTTAGAGTAACGACTTTTTCTTTTATTGTGGACTGATGGTGGCCGATATGTTGATCTTTTCGTGGCTGGCAATGAGGTACAAGTATATCAAGAAGGAAGAATCGCCGCCAAGCTCAGAAAACCTTCCTATATCAAATTAACGAAACTCCAGCGGAGGTATACATAATCCATGCTTCGTAAAAAGTTCCAACAATTTTAATATTAAGGAAAAACAACTCGACTTTTCAACTGCGAAAATTGAATTTAGAGACCATATTCACAACCAATGTACTGATGATTTAATAATCAAGAATTCCGAATTTAAAAAAACATAACAATAACATAAAATTCGAGTGATCTTGAGATGAAAAAAGATTAATTTTTTTTTGTAGTTATCCATTTTATGTATTAGTTACATAAATATATTTTGTATAAGTCATTTATTTGACTTTAAAATATAGAATACCTTAGTATATTATTTTCTATAAATATCACTTCAACCTACCTCCAATATTGAAAGAAATAGACAAATAGACAAATGTAAATATTTTGATTGACCTTATTTATTTCAGATCTATTAAGTAACGTTAATACAAATGACAGTCTTTAAAAAAATGCAAAAGGTTTATTTCTTTTTAAAATAAACACAATGTGAGTAAGATTAAAATCTCACTGTAAATGAGTATATCGATTAAAGAGAAATATAAAATGAAAAAACTATTTCAATCTTTTAATAGAAAACGTTTCGTGCAGTATTTCTGCACTTGTTCAGTTCTAATGATTGTAAAGTCATATATAGATGTCAAACAATGTCAAATGCATATGTTGAGGTGTTACAAAATACATTTAATAAATACAATAAAAGTTACAGTAAAAAACACATTCAGTTTTTTTTTTAATTTATACAAACATTAAAAAGTCACAAAAATGTGACAATATGTTAACAAGAACAGTACAATATAATACAATCTATCGGTGATGTACAATATATGGAAACATGAAGCCAGGAGAAAAAGTAACTTGTTTTAATTAGAGCTTAGTGAACAAATTGAAAAAAAAATATTTTTATTGAAAAAAGCATGGAAAGTTAACTTTATTGTTAGAGACACCAAAGTAATTAAAAAAGCAACTATTTTAGACAGATAGGGATTTACCACTCCGAAGAGAAAAACAAAAAATAATATGGCTTTGGAAATCAGTCTTGGTACGAAAAATTAATTAGATGACAAAAATACTTGTTTACAGGACAGAATAGAAAAGTCAATTTATTTATAAATCTAATTAAAAAGAAGGTTGGAAATAAAAGGTACCGATGACCATTGTTGGGGAACCTAGAATTAGTGAATATTAATGAAATATAATGTGATATGAATTGTGGTTCTTTGGAAAGATTTACATCGATGTGATGTATGAAAATTGCTGAAGTTCTCGTTGAAATGAATTAATTTAAGTAAAGGTAGAACCGACGGTAGCTACTTTTTTCCTTAGAGGACAAAAACCGAAAAATTTTAGGCCATGTCTTGATCGGATTTAGGTGTACCTAAGTTAAATTATGAAATGTAACATTTAACTACAGTTGATTCAAATTCGACATGCAGTAAAAGTAAACAAAACCAGGCTATGCTAGGTAAGACTCCATAGGCGTGCGGTTTTGCTTTTATATTTCCTATTTCCTATCAAATTAATAAAATAGTATGTACAATTAAAGATTTGTTTACTATGAACAAAGAAGATAAAATATACAATGTTAGTATTATTTTCAAGGAAATTCAAAATAAACGTCCCTACTGTAAAATAAAAAGAAACTTATGGTTTGACAAAAATAATAAAGCAGTAATTGCAACGTTGTTTTGACACTTAACTGATCGAAATCGAAACATCAAATACACTTATTTTTTTAAAGTAAATTGTGAGTTCGAATCAAAAGTAGTAACTTATTATTATGTTTTCAGTTTTTATTTGAAAAACAATAAAATTCACGTGTAATTGTACATACTGTTTTAATAATTTAATACGAAAGCAAAACCGTATGACAAATTTTGATTGATTGACAAAGAATTCTTCTGGCTGAGTACAAAATAAACAACTGATCAAATCCTATCGCGCGATATAGAAAATGAAAGGGGAGCTATAACGATTACTTAAGGAAAGAAAAAACAAACAGTGCGACCCAAAAGGGCACTACGAAGCATCTTCGTTATTAATGGATGTATACTTTCATACGAGATATCATAGTGCACTACGGATGAAAAAGCGTCTGACTGAGTACAAGATAAACAACTGATCGAATCCTCACATACGACATAGTAAATGAAAGGGAAGGATATAACGAATATATTAAGATAGAAAATCAATTACATATCTTAATAGATTCGTTATATCGTCCCTTTTCATTTGCTATGTCGCAAGTTAGGATTCGATCAGTTGTTTATTTTTTAGTCAACCAGAGGCCTTCTTGAAGTCAGTAAATGAAAATTTGTTTTATAGTAAATTTATTTTCATCCATAGTGCCCTATGATATCTCGTATGTAACTATACGTCCATTAATAACGAACATGCTGTGTAGTGCACTTTTGGTAGTCGTCTTGTTTGTTTTGTCTATCGTAATATAATCTTTATCCCCTACCTTCCATTTTCTATGCTGAATATTAGCATTCAATCAGTTGTTTATTTTGAAATCAGTCAGAGGCCTTCCTTGATTCAATCAATCAAAATTTGTCTTATAGTAAATCTATTTTCATCCATAGCGCCCTATGATATCTCGTATGTAACTATACTTCATCTAATTTAGATAACGACTTACGTCATTATCTACGTCAGAGATCGAAGTTGACATAGTTGCCAAAATATAAAAAAATCCTGACTCCATTTTAAATCAAATAGATTACATAATTATTGCAAAAGTATTACCATCTCTTTACAACGACTATTTAAATTCTTACGTGACATTTTTGAAATAAAACACACTAATTTTGTTCTAAAAAGAACAGATTTTATTAAATAGTTAAAAATATAAAACAAGAGATATTCAATTTAAAATTCAAAATAATGAAGTACAAAAAGTGTCAACACCGCAACTGTCAAATAAGTGTTACCAATTTATGCCAAAATTTTACCTTCGTTCGATTACAGTTACAGTGTGTTCCGAACAAATGCTCTTGATAAAAACGATTTATAATGCATTTATACAAATTAAATGAAACATATTATTGTGTATTTCTTTAAGTTAACATTAATAGAAATTTTTAAATATTATTTCTACGCGTATATAATAAAATATGTCTAGTGGCTGTAATGCCAGTGTACTCGGTAAAGTGATTCTAAAAAAGAACACACCTACACCCTAAATATTTTGTGTTGGTATCATGTGACGTCACAGGCTATGACGCCGATGACGTGCATCGTTATATAAATTAGATGAAGTGTATACGTCCATTAATAACGAAGATGCTGTGTAGTGCCGTTTTGGTAGTCATCTTGTTTGTTTTGTCTATCTTAATATAATCGTTATCCCCTCTCCTTTCATTTTCTATGTTGCATGTTAGGATTCAATCAGTTGTTTATTTTGAACTCAACCAGAGGCCTTGCTTGAGTCAATAATCACTATAAATATACTGACTATAAATCATACGGTCGGCCGCAACTTATGCTACGATGTCTACTTCATATTTTCATATGTATTTCATAATACAGGAAAATATAGGTTTATAGATCGTTAAAATTATGATTTGAGAGTGAGCCTCGTAACATTCATACTGTTGACGGTTTATTTATACTTACTGCAGCTCTATCTTGTATTTAGTGTAGAAATGTTTAGAAAGGTTTTCGAAGCCCCGCCCATTGTGACTTCAGAGGTGAGGTAGTCCATTAATACACAACTGACCGTTTCCACTAAACAGACTCGAGTTTCAAAAACTCGTGACTCGAAAAACAAAACGAACTGTTTCAAAACACGCCAGTCTTTAAAAAGTTTGTGAAAAGTTACTATTTTGTTTTATTGGACACGAGTTTGTGTTTTGTTTTTATTTTGTCCGTTTGGTGGGAAGCCGCCATTAGATATTACGTTTAATTTTAAAACAATTTTTACATATTTAATTTTATTTTATTAATTCAATGCATTACAATAACGAATTCACATTATTATGTTGTTGGAAAACCTTATTGTAACATTTATTAATTTGATTTTATCTTTGTTATTCTTCTGATTATAAAATATAAATGATAACATTTATTATAACTATAAATGAATAAATTCAAGCACTATAATTCCCTGACGCACGCCCTGGCTAAAATATTATCACTAGAACAACAGTGGTCCAACTAAGTTATAGCAATTCTTCCGCGTACAAGGACTACTAAATGATATGGTATGCTGTTAATATTTGAGTTTCGTATACGATGTCTATTTATATAGTTATGAGGTGGATATTATGTACGTTTATACATTGTAAATCATGATTTGGGATTGCTCCTCGTAATATTCATAATGTTGATAATGTGTCTTGGTTTGTTTACTGCTACTGCATCTTTAAGTTAAATTTGGTTTAGAAGGATTTTAATGATTATTCAACACCAAGGAGTGATAAATGATGCTGAGATTATCGATGTCAGTACGTCTGTTCATGGAGTTTTTTCTCTTAATATGTGACACATTTCCAGGAAGTATCTCATATAGAAATTATTCTCAGTTCCTAGAGATTTAATATTCTCTAAGTCGATTTGGTGGTTAAAAGAGATAGAGTGGGTACTGAGAGCACAAGAATTCTTGTTGCATCTGATATCACTTTTATGGGATATAACACGCCCTTTAAGGATTCTTTTTCTTTGGCCAATATACTTCAAATGACAGTCTTTGCATGGAATGTTATACACTACATTTGATTTCTCCCAAATATCTAAAGGTGTTTTGCTACGTGAAAAGAGATTTCCAACTGTTTTACAATTTTTGATGCCTATTTTAGTAGATAGGGGTTTAAACAATTTAGTAAGTTTCTCTGTAACCTGTAGAAAATAGGGTAATGAACAATATCTAGGAGAAGACTCAGAGGTGGATACCTCATCAAGGTGGAGTTCATTGTTGTCAAGTATGTTATTATGCAAATCTTACATATTAAGAGAAAAAAACTCCATGAACAGACGTACTGACATCGATAATCTCAGCATCATTTATCACTCCTTGCTGTTAAATAATCCTTAAAATCCTTCTAGTTAAATGTTATATTTCATAATTTAACTTAGGTACACCTAAATCCGATCAAGACATGGTGAGTTAAACAAATTCATATCACATTATATTTCATTAATATTCACTAATTCTAAATTCCCCAACAATGGTCATCGGTACCTTTTATTTCTAACCTTCTTTTTAATTAGATTTATAAATTGACTTTTCTATTCTGTCCTGTAAACAAGTATTTTTGATATCTATATATCTTGACATATTTTTTGTTTTTCTCTTCTGAGTAGTAGATCCCTATCTGTCTAAAATAGTTGCTTTTTTTAATTACTTTGGTGTCTCTAACAATAAAGTTAACTCTCTATGCTTTTTTCAATAAAAATATATTTTTTTTCAAATTCTTCATTAAGCTCTAATTAAAACAAGTTACTTTTTCTCCTGGCTTCATGTTTCGATATATTGTTCATCAGCGATAGAATAGAAGTATTGTATTATATTATACTGTTCTTGTAAATATATTGTGACTTTTTAATGTTTATATAAATTAAAAAAAAAACTCTGAATGTGTTTTTTACTGTAACTTCTATTGTATTTATTAAATGTATTTCTTTGTTACTATGGTTATATCGTCCGCATATCCTATTATTTGTACTCAATTCTTGTTTAGGCGTTTGACAGCTTTTTTATTATCTTGTCTAGTGATAAAATAAATAGTACTATTGAGAGCGCATCTCCTTGTCGTACTCCATTTTTTCTTTTATTATTTCTGTTCTTTCTCTTCCGGTGTCTATTATTGCTTGGGAATCTCGCATTGTCATTTCTGTCATTCTTATAATTTTATTTGGTATATTACTCTCTTGTAAGTCTTAAATCATTTTTCTTCTGTTTTAGTTTGTCAAACGCCTGTTGAAAGTCTAGGACAAGTATATGTGTTTCTCCCTCGTACTCATACGTTTTCTCTTATCACTTGTTTTAGCATATGTATGGCGTCTATCGTGGATCTTTCTTTTCTAAAACCGTACTGGTAATCCCCTATGCTTTGTTCTGTATATATTGTTAGTCTGTCTCTAATTATACCAGTCATTACTTTATATGTTACATTCAGTAAACACTAGCATACCCTAGCGTTTTCAAAGGTGTTTGCTATCATTAGCCATGCAGGGAACATATCAAATCCAGACTATTAAGTCCACTATTTAGAAAGGTACAGAAAGCTTTTCTGGAATATGCAGGGACTGCAGTGGCAGTGGTATTTGTAAAGTGATGATATAAGAATTCCAAGAATCAAAATCTAGTACAGTAAAAAAAATAACACAAGCAATCAGATTTTCAGAAACGTTTATTACCACATAATCTACAATATCACAAAAAATATAGTGCAATATTCAGAGACCTATATATTAGAATAAAACTAAACCGTAACCAGATTACATTACTAAAATCTACGTTTTTAACGCTGTAGAGTAAGAAGCAGTTACTTTCAGTCTGCCCTAGTCAAAGTTGGTGTAATAAGACAAATATACCTTTAAAATCCTTTCGGTATCTCTAAAACATCTTTAGTAAATAAACAAACTGAAATCAAAATGTTATTAAACTCAGAACAAAATACAAACACACAAACGCAGAACCACTTACTGTGTCTTCATAATATTCGAACACTGACAAATTATATCAAAACTATATTGAATTGAAGCTAAAACCTTAGAAAGGGTTGAAACGGAGAGAGACACTATATATATTGAAATTCGAATGGATAACACACAAGCAAAAATACAAATGGAAAATTAAATAAATCAAAATTGAAAATGTGAATAAAAAAAACTAAAAAAAAACCTCAAAAACTTATTTGGCGTATAAAAAATTTCACAAACTACCACGAAATTCCTTTCAAATAAGACACTCACTTAAGAACTGATTTTAAATAGAAAATAAAATGGAATGTTTTCCAATTACATTTTCCTGAAGAGCAAAATTTCTAACAATACAAATAATCCTAAAATTTTGTTTATAATTTTATATCAGCATTCAAGTGTTCGAATAGACTCAATGTTTGGCTCTTTCTTATCACACTTCCACCATCACTCCGATTATGTCAAATTGTAATGATTTACTTTTTTAATTCTAAAGTACTAACTAAAATAACAGATCTAATAGTTCTATATAGCTCTACTGGGACAAAAGAAATTCTTCACGGGTTACTCGATTTCTAAATTGTCTTTTACTTTTTGGCTGAAGAGGTCGAAAAATTGATATAAAATACAGGCGGATTCTATGAAAAAAGAAGAAGAAATACATACCTATGATGATAACATGTTCTGCAACCCTTTCGTTGTATGTAGTTTATCGAAAAAAAAATTATTCTGAATGAAATGCAATCGTAGAGTAATTACTAATATTTCTCACACTTCTGTTAAAAAAATAAGTGATCATTCTATTGTTACAGTAGAACTTGTCCGTTTATTATAAAATGGACATTTATAAAATCATCAGAATTTATAATTACTGAAGTAAACGTATATAATACCATAAAACCAGAATGACATACATATTCCCATGTCAGTAGAAAATTACAATAATGAACTAAGCATAAAACAAATTGATAGTTATGGAAATGCCGGGGATATAAACGTAAAGTTTTAAAAATCGTATAACTAAACAATGAGTTTTATTCAACGGAAAAACCAACTTCATTCATGCTAACGATTTACATGAGAAAATACTTAACAATAATTTTACAATTTTACTAAATGAGCAAAAAAGTAAATTAAATTTTGAAACTTTGGAGAAACCATTTAGAAATCGAAAATATACATTTATTAAAACTCATTGTGTACAGAGGGTAAAGAGTTTATTTTATATTCATATACTTTGTTAATAAAAATACCCTCATAATAGCGTCCATTTGTATAAGAGATATTAAATGTAAGTCGAGTTTAATAAATAATTCATTATGTGTGTTATATGCTCAATTCGATCGCTTCTATGTATATTATAGTATGCAAAATGCAGACGCCCTCTAGTTTTAAATAAAATATAATTTAAACTTGTAATTTACATACGTTTACTTTGTAATTAGATGAATGCGTACCTCTATATGCCCTATTACTATTAAATCCGTATTATTTAAGGAATAAACATGTAAGTGCATTAATACAGTAATAAAATAGGTAATTGTGTTTATTGCACAAGCTCTGCAACAACCCTTGACAAGTCATCGTTGTATCTAGCCAATAAGGAGGCGTTTAGATCTCTGTTCCAAAATCCCATTTCTGCCAAAGCTTGTAAATTGGCTTCGCGAGGTGAATCTGGGTTAGTACTGACCCAATGTCCATTCACCCAACGGCCCGGAGACTGAAAAAAAAAATAAACAATAAATTAAAGTTATTCTATTGTTCGAGATTACTTAATAAAGTTCGGGGGAATGGGATTCGCTCACGAGACGATCCGGCTGAAATTGGTTTTCGATCAGTCTAAAACCGATTGCAGTTGTAAAAGATTTATATTTATGACCTGAACTTTTGGAAATCATTTCAAGATATAAATAATTTAAGATTATTCAAATTATACGGTAATTGAAGAGTGGTAACATTTGAAAAAATTTAAAGTAATTAAGTAGACAATAAAGTAGACATTACAAATGTTCATTTAGACAGTACAGTTGGGTATACGTAAAAATAAAAAGTTTATTACAAAAAAAATATTAACCTATTTATCTTTTAGAAAAAAGAATAACTTTTAAAGATTGTAAATTTAACGAAACATCTAAAGATGATGCCATTTTTTCGCATGTCTACTAGTTGCCTGTTTTCTTTTTTTATAAAAAATAAAAAAAAACAAATTATCCTACAAAAAGAACAACGACAAATAGATAAACGGCAAGACAGCCAGTTCCTGATCCGGATAAAACCAAACTCATAAAATCGATCATAAAGCCTTGGATATAAAACAAAAAAATATTTAAAGACGATCTCAGCAATAAAAATAGCTACGAGAAAGATTATTGAATTGCTTTAGCATAGTAGAAAGTGTTTAATTACCTCAAAAGATATAAAAACGAACATTACAGAAAAGGATATAGCGGGATAACATGGTAAAATCTGCACTCGGCTGAACTCTTATTCGAGATTGGACACTAAAAAGTACATACTTAGAAACCCCTTTAGCCTTTTTAGAACATAAACTCGACTGCATGTGAATGAATAACGATTTTTCACCTATTTTTCCGTTGTTTCTAATAGCAGGGATATGTTGGCCATTTCCAGATTGAAACAGTCTGAATTCAAAAAAACTGCATTTTTTTATATTTTAAGCTTTATAAATAAATGTGACAAACAACGATTTTGGTTCCCCTCCCCTTTATTAGCGTGGTGATTATCATTTATGGATTAAATTAAACAAAAATAATTGTATTTAATTTCATATTAGACTTTTTTAATTTTTATTAATAATAATGAAATTCTATAAAATTACAAAATTACACAATAGTAAAAAATGTTCAAAATCGCATTAGAATTATACTTTTACACGTATATATAAGCCTCAATTTATTTTCTATTCAATCTAATTACTTAAACCTCGGGCGCGCGCTTTTAAAAGTCATAAGAGAGGGCGCTCGACGGCACTTTATGCCGCAAGCAGAAAAACGTATAGATTCAATTCAAAAGATACATATTTATCTCCAATATAAAGTTCTAAATAATCATAAACTTGAAAAAGTTCATCTTCTTGTAGTGCCTATCTGTTTCGGATATTGGCGATCATCATGGCAATGTGTATTTTGCAAACTGCTCGAAAAGTTGTTGTCGTGTTGAACCACGTACGTAGATTTTTCAGCCAGGAAATCCTTCGTCTTTCTGGTCCACGTTTTCCTTGTAGGAAATTAACAACTCTTTTGCTGAAGATTTTGAGCAAATATTTTTCCTGAGCTCAATTTTGAACACTAAAAAATGATTTTTTTATCAAATTTAGAGTATGTTTCAGTCTGCAAATGGTCAACATGACACTGCTATTAGAAAAAAAAAACGGAAAAAAATATATGAAAAATGTTTTCCAATCACATGCATTTGAGGTTATCTGCTAGAAACATGGGAAAAAGTATCAAACAAGAGTATTTGTCGTATTTTGAGCATCTGGTCTGAAGATGGTAAACTGTCCCCGCTATTCGAAATAACAAAAATATATATATATTAAAAATCAATATTTATTGACATGCAGTTGAGGTTATGTGCTAAAAACATGGGGAAACAGCAAAATGGTAAATCTAATCCCGCCTATCAAAAGAACTGAAAAAAATACACTAAAAATAATTATGTAAAAATTACCCTCATAATCTAAAAATTTTTGAAAAAAAAAATTCGTTAGCTCAATTTTGATCCAAAAAATTTGGAAAAAATCAATTGAGTGCTTTTAAAATGTATGTTTATGAATTTTTTTAGATTTTTTAGCAAAAAATCGTTCAGAATTTTTTTTCATAAAAAAAATATTTTTTGCGATAAGAGTAGCTAAAATTTGGCTGAAGGACTTTCTAAATATGTACTTTTGAGTGCCCAATCCCAAACAAGAATGCAGCAGAGTGCAGATTTTACCATTTTATCCCGCTGAAGCCTTTATCATAAGGTAATGCATGTACCTGAAATGATGAAAAAAACTTACCCCTTGTGGTACAATTCTATTTATCACAGATCTTGCCACGTTAACTGCTCCGTTAACTAATCCCTCTGGTAAAATGTGTACTACATGTGGTGATTGTGGAGGAGCACTTGCATCTTCACTTGGTGGCCTCTCTGGGGTACCATCTCTATTAACTTCTGGTGGTGGAACTTCTGTGCCTATAATAAATATTTAAATTATATCGAAACTAATACGCTCAGTAAAACGAGTTTTGTCTTTTTAGTTTTGCATATAGCCCCTTGGAGGGCGATACCAATAAAACCTTCCGACACAAATGTAGCCTCCATCTTTTGTTGGCATAATTCGAGAGGTTCATTGCGATACAAGTCGTGTAGATACAGCGAAATTAGCAAGTCGGTCGAAAAATGGATGGCCGAGAACATGTTCGAGCAATAATTTTTTACAATTTTCTGAGAGGATTGTCTCAACAGCAATGTCTCACTGAAATGGTTTCTGTGTTTGGGAATGAAGCATCACACACCAGTTCACTATTTTCCGCGGGTACTACCGCAGGTCTCAGCGACGAATCCAGGCCAGTTACACTCAAAACAGCAGTCACCAGCAAAACATTGATGCGGTTCGTCACCTAATTAAGGATGACCACCGTATAATATACCGGGAGATAGAGGCATCTTTGGGCATTTCAAAGATCTTGATCCAAAGGATCCTATATGAAGAACTGAGTGTTACGAAGTTGGTTTCCCATTGGATCCATCATTTGCTCTTCTTCTTCTTAAGGCACCCTCTCCATTACTGAAGGTTGGCTATAACTACAGCAAATTGCTCTCTATCGTGAGCTGTTCTTAGTATTGAATGTGTGTCCATGCCTATCCAGTCTCTTACATTTTTCAGCCAGGAACCTTTTCTTCGTCCTGGACCTCTTCTTCCTTCCACAGAAGAGCAAAAAGCAGTTCGCATCAATTGGTGTAGAAACACATTGGAACGGTTCAACAAAGACAGCTCAAAAAACTTTTATAGTATTGTTAGTGGCCATAAATCTTGGATTTACTCCTACGAACCGGAAAATAAAAGTCAATCTGCTGTGTGGGTGTTTCACGATGAGGAAAACCCAACAAAACTGATCCGTTCTCGAAGTGTGTCAAAGAAAATGGTCGAAACTTTTGTGTCAAAATCTGGTCATGTGGCAACAATTGCTTTAGAAGATCGAAGAACGGTTACTTCTGATTGGTATATAACCCGTTTGTTTACGAGAAGTTATCGCGAAACTCCGATAAAGCAACACATAACGGCGAATCATCCTACATCAGGACAATGCAAGTGTTTACACTGCCCAAAAGATAGAGCTTTTGGAGCTTCAAAACATCGAACTGTTAAACCATCCACCGTATAGCCCCGAACTAAGTCCCAACGACTTCTTCACGTTCCCAAAGATCAAGAATTCAATGTGTGGGCAGGGATTGCAGTTGCCAGAAGAAGCCATCGATGACTAAAACAAGCGATTTTTCATGTGTCAACTGAAGACTGGAAGAAAAGCAATAAATTACTTTAAGTCTATATATTTTTTGTCTTTATGGCTATATGCAAAACTAAAAAGACAACCCTCGTATGCACACTGTGACAAGACTAAAAATCACAAGTCGTTTAGAAATTTTCTTTTCAAGTTGATATTTAAAACTGTTTAATACGTGAGAGAAATTGAAGACACGAAATTTAGTCAATACTAATTCACGATTGACTCAAAATAACTCGTCAGCTATAGCTTTTATATTTTACACATTGTCTTTACTATTATCAGCTTTTAGTAAATTTGATATTTAAAAAAAACTAACGATATGAAATATGTACATCAACATACACCAAATACGCGCTTTAAACATAACAGCAATATAAAATACCCCATACCTAACTCAGGAGGTTCGGCTGTAGCTTCAAATGTAGCGCGAATGTTCTCTTCTGATGGACATTTCCTTTCTTCGGGAGGAGTCTGTTGAAAATTCGGAACATGAGAGATAGTTGGAGCAACAAATGGATTTCCAGACGATGATGGTGGTATATTAATCGCTTCTGTAGCTGGAACTATTTCGGGAATTAATGGTTCTTTCATACCATGAACACTATAGGCATAGTGAGTATCTAAAAATATACAAAACGATTAATGGACTGCCAAATAGTCAAGTTGGTCTTAACAACTAATTGTAAATTGATAGAACGATTAATTAGAATTTTAATATGCCTTGCAGCTTTAAATCCTTACGAGGATCGTCTAAGCTTCAATAAAATCAAAGGAGAAAAACTTAACAATACAGGTCATAAATGTACATCAAGGAATTACATTCATTTGTTCGGGTTAGTTTTCTTTGTCAACAGTTTTCTGTCCTAAGTAGCACTACAAATTTTAAGCATTAAAATAATTACTAATGATAAGATCTTTTGTTGGCATAATTTGAGAGATTCATTGCGATACAACAAGTCGTGAAAATACAGCAAATCTTTGGAATAGGAATAAAACATGGAATAAAACATCTCGTCTAGGAACCCATCAAGACATTATCAAACTAGACTATAGTCGAACAATTTTCAATTAAAGGTGACTAATCTACAAATTGAACTAAACGGTAGCGGCAACCATGTAAAATTTCATTAGTAAATTCTTACCGGGGTCATTTTTATTGTGTATGCTTCGCCCATCTAAGTATGTAAATATGTAACCCATGTAAGATAAATTTGCCCCCGTAACAATATAAATTAATGCGATTCACGAGTGTATAGTGAGACAAGTTCAAAGAATAGTTTGAAACATCGGCAAACATCAATATTTTGCTGGTCTATATATATTTACGTTCTTAAAAAGAATGTTAATGAGAGAAATATGATATCTTAGTTTATTCCTTCCAGATTATAAACATTTGTGCATAAGCGTAGTGTGTTATTGGGAATATATTTATTAAATAGACTTTATTATTAACTTTAAAATAGTTTTAAGGTAAGTAAAGTAAATTTGAGGCCAGTTTATTCTTTATATAGAATTAAACCCTTAACGGACGCTCAATATACAAAGAGAAATTTGACAATTAATTTATTAGATTCGATTAAAAACACATAAATTAGGACTGATTTACAACCAAAAAATTTTTTTTTCTCATTTTCAAGGAAAACAGTACAATTTTTAATAAAGGAACATATTGTATCTTAAACGTAAATTAAATTTTAAGGTGAAAATTTTCGAAACATTCGGGGTGTAGATGCATTCTAAACTTTTTACATAAATAAATAGTATTACTTTTGTACATCCTAGATTTTTGCACTATCGTCTCTTTTTGTAATGTGGCCAATATTGTCGAATCTGGTTTCATCTGGTAAAGCAAATTTAGATTGACGTCTATGTACTAAGTGACACTGATGTAGCGGTTTCTTTACTATTATAAATTAAAATTATAAATCTATGTCGACTCATGCTTTCTCTTATAATATGCACTTCCTTATCCTCATCCTTTGATCAATGCATATCAACTTAAAGCGAAGTGTAAACCAGATAATATACATATGCTAATAATTTTATTTAAATCTATGTTATTAATTTCAAAATTGTGACGGTTATTCTCAATTACTTTTTTATCAAAAAGAGTAAAAAAACTTCAATATATGAATTTCCTACATGGTTGGCTTTTATATTGTCTAAATATCAATCAGACTGATGTTGAATTACACTGAGCACGAATGAATATCCGTTATTACAACAAGATAAATTTGGATTTACTATTTTTGTCTGGTTTTTTCTTTGGTCGTTTTATCTGTGGTTCAGAGGAATATCATAATCAGAATCGTCAGAATTCCCAATCTCTTGTATTTCATATGTATCTGCAATATCCGATTTTATTGATTATTCACAAATAATATTATCATCAATGTCTTCAAGGAATACAATAATATACCAGCAAACGAATGGGAAAGATACCGTATTTGTACTAATGCCGTATTTGTACTAAGACAAATCACAGAAAAGGCCATCGAGTACAATAAACCAGCATATCTATGTTTTATAGACCTGACAAAGGCTTTCGATCGCATCCATGTCGAAGACGTCTTACACCTACTGTATAAAAGAAACATACCAATCAATATTATACAAACCATCGAAAGCATCTACCTCCATAATCGAATACAGGCAAAGATAAATGGAAAACTAACACACTGTATACCAGTACAAAGCGGAGTCAGACAGGGTGACTCGTTAAGCCCACTTCTCTTTAACATAATAATGGACGAAATAATACAAGCAGTACGTAAAGGTCATGGCTGATGAATGGGGAACAAAGAAATCCAAATATTATGTTATGCAGACGACGCCGCATAATCGCCAAGACAGAAGACGAGCTCTAAAGATTAACACATATATCTTACTCAATACAACAGCTAAGAAATACAATATGATAATATCAGCAGAAAATTAGAAATGTATGACAAACATTTAAATACCCACTACAGTGTAAAATCGAAATTGATGGGAAATAAAGCCGGAAGCAAGGTTTAGATATCTGGGAATAGATATAACTAGTTACGGAGATGTTGAAGAAGAAGTACGACAGCAAAGCTTAAAAGCAAGTAAAGCGGCGGGTTCTCTTAAAGATACAATCTGTAAGAACAAACACCTAAGACAAGACACAAAAACAAGAGTCGATAAAGCAGCAATTAGACCTATATTAACATACACGGCGAGATAGGGGGAGAAGCAAGAAGATCATGCAATATAGAAGACATAAATGGAATATGTGACAAAACGAAAACAGGAGTGGAACACATCACTAGAATGGCAGAGGATAGAATAGTACGAATAGCACGAGATAAGTCACCAAATGGACGAAGAAGTATTGGCAGACCAAGGAAAAGATGGTAGGATAATTCAAACAATTTAGAAGGCTAATATTAAAGAAGAAACAGGCTTTAAAGCCTACATACTAGAAGGAAGAAGAAGAAGAAGAAGATCAATGTGTTCTACATCAGAAACTTTCTACTATAATCTCGGCGGCAAATAAACCACATGAATCAGCATTTTCACAATTTGAGTCTTCTTCTACCAAAGCTATTAACTCTTTAGTAGTTAGTGCCATCTTCATTTCATATTTCGAGAATTTACTGATTGTTTTTAGTCTAATGAAAATAAAAAAAATAAGTATTTTCCAAAGTTATCTTTTTTTTGTTCCAAAGTTCTGTATTAGATACTCTCTAATAAGAATAAAATTTTACTTTACTTTGTTAGACAAATATAAGATACCTGTTAAAAGAGACATGATAATTTACTAATTAAATCGGTCTTAGATTTAATTTTTACGTAATTACTTATGTGTTTAAATAAATAATTAAAAATTTTTTTTGGTACGCCTCTGTAAAATTGATAATTTCAATACGATTTCGTTGAAAAGTTATCGTTAAGGACTTCGTTAAGTACGATGTTGCCAAGTAACCACTTTCAATTAAAAATTATTTTAGTATAGGTCACGGGTATGAGGTAACGACAAATGGAGTAAAACAGAGGTTAGGAATCTAATTACACTTAAATATTAAACTTGCTTTTGCCGATAAATTCCATTAAACATTCATTCACGACTCTTATATTTAGAGATGAACGAAAGCACATGCTATATGGAGGAAAAATTTTTATGTTTATTAAATTTTTTGTTAGATCTTCCGATAACGATTTTTTAGTTTTGCCAGATGACTAGGATTACATGCGTGTCCAAATGTTATTCTAATTATGGATGTTATATACCTTCGTGGAACAGAATAATTCTTAAACCAGTAATCACTTGAGGTGGAAGGCTGTATAGACGCATATTGCGAGGAAGAATGTGTACTTTTTATATGCAATGGGTGTTTCCATTTAGTATTGATATTATTTTTAATTATTGTTAATGCGTCTTACCTACAGATTTGGTGAATAGTTTGCGTTCCAGTATCAATGGCTTTTTTAGCTAATAAGTCCACATGTTCATTGTATTTAAGACCTATGTGAGCTTTAACTCACAAAAAAATGAACAATTCTTTGGTTTTTATAAATGTTATAAAGAAGTTTTTTTGATTTTTTTTTGACCTCTTGAAAGGGGTATCGGTAGGACAGCGTTCTATTTAGACATATGCCAAGGTATTTTGGGGTCTCGTTGTGTTTCGCTGGCCACATTATTCCACCTCTAGCGTCCTTCTGTGTTTTTGTGGGATTGGGTTTCGGAGGATTTTTACCATAATAAGTCTTCTACAGCATTTGTCAGCTTTTCTTCGACTAAATTGAATGTTATTCCCTAACATGCCATAGCTGTATTATCAACGTAAATAGTTTTGTTTGTTGGTTTATAGGTTGGTCGTTGGTGTATATGTTGTATAGAATCGGTGTGAAGACACTTCCCTGTGGGAGACCTTTTTTTGATTCCTCCACCCACTGTTCTTGGACTGGAGTGTTATGTAGAAGCTTCTGTACTGGAGGAGGTATTCCATCATCCTTACGAGCCGAGAATCCTTTGTAGTTTCGTAGAGTTTTGTCCCCAACTGTTGATGGTTAACTTTGGCATTGCTTTTTCTGAAATAATTTTAGTCTCCACAAATTCAGCGACACGGTTCAGTATCATTCTCTCGAACGCCCTGAAAAAGTGACACAAAAGAGACACAGATTTAACACTCTGTGTATCCGCCGGATCCGTTCCCGGTTTTAAGAGGGGCACCACTCTAGCTTTACTCCAGATTTTGGGGTTCTGTACTGTACAAATGCAGCAATGCATCATTCGTACAAGCCACTCTGCAGTTATTGGTCCAAAGTTTTTTATTTGTTCTGTACGTATTTAGTCCAAGACAACTTTTTCGTGTCTCTCATCTCCTCAAGACAAAAGGAGGTACCTAAAACCACCCCTTCCTTCGTCGATGTTTCGTTTGGACCCTCACGTTGTTCTTCCTTGATCTCGATCTACAGTTTGTCAGGAGACGATGGGTGATCTGACGATCTGATCGGGTGTGACTTCTGTCAGGTTGCTGCCGGGACAACGGAATCACTGAAAAGATTCCAAACCAAACTCCAAGCACGTCTGCTGTTTTGTTTCAGCTTGCAGCACCTGTCCATTATGTTGTCTGATATCTCATGTAACACGTCC